AAAAAAAAAAGAAAAAAAAAAAAGTTATCATATAATAATGCATGACTCCATCACAAGAAGCATCTGTTCTCATTAGTTGTTTCCCCTTAAAAGATTCTTAAGAATGGGTTATAATATTACAATATCTAGACCAACTTTTTGTAAGTAAAATTTTTTTGCAAGTAAACACTTCCCAGGCCGAATGGCTCACGCCTGTAATCCCAGCACTTTGGGAGGCTGAGGCAGGAGAATCACTTGAGCCCAGCAGTCAGAGGTTGCAGTGAGCTACGATGATGCCACTGCACTCTAGCCAGGGCAACAGAGCAAGACTCTTAATCTCTAAAAAAAAAAAAACAAAAAAAAAACAAAAAACTTCCAGAGCTGATGACAACATAAACTCACTTTGAAATTTTAAACAGCAATCCCTCAATTTGATTAATAAAACAGAATCACAGACATACCACTTTAATAACACTTTTTTCTTCAAATGAACTTGGCAAATCGGTCACCATTTCTTGTGCCAAAATTTCCACAGCTTTGTGTTGCAGGCAAAAGTTCTGTACAAATGTTTCACTGGCCAAAATTGCCGCCGCAGCACCATCTGAAGAGGGACTAAGAAAAAGTAAAAATAATTATTTGCACCCAGTACTACCTCAAACCTAGGGTTTCACACTAGGAGCTCTTTCTATGTGAGAAAAAAGGCCAATGCTTGCTCATCAGTGGATTATGTTCTTTGTGATATATAAAGTTACAAATTGCACATGCTCCCTACCTGAGGACTGAACCACTATCGAGAACTTAAATGTAATCAGTCGCTGCTTGGTCTCCAAGAGTTTCTCTCAAAAAGTTCTTATTGCAAAGAATCCCAGATTTGCCTCTAGAAATGCATTAGGCATCTTACAGTGACTTCTGAGGAGTTAAGTACAGAACTGTGAACTAAAATAAAATTTTAAGGCACACCCCCACCCCCACCGGCTGACTGAATGGACCCCCTCGTGGCCCAAAGGAATATCCTAAAACTAAATTTTCTGCCAGGAGGTCAGACATGCCTCATCATGCCCCCCTCCCTTCTTGGGGACATCCTTTGTAACCCATTAACAGGCCTAAGGGTATGCAAGACAAACCTGTAGGTCCTCGATCTAGGCAACAAATCTATGTCTGGTGGCTTATCTCTGATAAACAGCTCCTTATGTTGAAACATGCCAAGCCTTTAGACAAAGCTTCATGTCTTTAACCAATTACAAGCCAAAGAATCTTTAAACCCACCTATAACCTGTAACCACCCACCCCCTTCACGATGGCCCACCTTTTCAGGCCAAGCCAATGTATGCCTCCCAAGTATTGATTTATGACTTTACCTGTAACCCCTGTCTCCCTGAAATGTATAAAACCAAACTGTAACCCAGCCACACCGAGTCCACTTGCTCAAGGCCTCTTGGGTGTAGTTCTGGGTCATGTCCTCAAATTTGGCTCAGAGTAAATCTCTTTAAAATTATTTTACAGAGTTTGGTCTTTTTCTTCCATTGACAGAACGATATTCCCATCCTAGGTACACTAAAGATTCTACTGTAGACCTACCTAGCTCCAACTTGGCTATCTCCCAAATAACTCAGTCATGAAATCCTTTCGGAAACTGGGAAAGGACAGAATTAGGGGATACCAGAAAGTAGATGGTTTAGTTTAGACTTGTGAGTGAAAGACAGGAATTGATAGTAGGAGAATGTACTTTGTTTTATATGGAACAAATAGTCTGAGATTAAAAAAATGTGTTCTTGTTGATTCTAACTGATGCCATTTGCTTCTGTAACCGTGCTTGCTTTTAGTTGTTTGTTAAATATAGGAGTAAGAGCAGGAGTGACTCCATGAAAAGCTAAATTTCCTGGAATAGGCCTAAGTTTCAGTTTCCCCAAAACCAAAATGCGGACCACAACTGGCGCCAGTGCAAAAATTGAAAATCCCGAGGCTTGGAGCCAACCAATCAGGAGTCAAAACAATCTGCCACTTTCAAAGGAACCAATGGACTAAGGGGGGAGGGGGGATGGTGTGCCCAGCGTGTCGTGTGGAACCTGCGTGTCGTGTGGAACCTGTGTGTCGTGTGCCACCGCTGTGCCGTGTGCAAAAGGAAGTATAAAAGCTTCACTTTTACCCCAGGGCGGGGTCCTGGTTCATAGGGGAGGCCACTGCGTTGGTGCTCTGGGACTTGGACCCTAGCTCGAGCTAGCCAATAAACTCCTTTGCCATTTGCAGCCTCGGTCACTCTGCCTCTCTGTTCCTGAAGCCGAAGGGAACCGGTTCTAACATGAGCTCTCAAAATAGATCTTTCTCTTAGAATAAGCTGTGAAGGAAGGTGGCAAACACAAGAAGCCCTCTGTGAGTTCAGCTGGACTCTCTAAATGGGCAGATCCTTACATTGCAACAGAAAAAAGCCCACTCAACTTGTTCGCTTCCATCCCAGCCAGTATCTCCAGGGGATAACGAGGTGTTAACTAGGACACAGGCAGGAGCTATGCCATATTCAACTCAATTGTAGGAGACAGATATTGTCAAGTAATTATTAATAAGATACAACTATTATCATCATTAGTGTTAAATGATTTTTCCTTTGTTTTACTTTTGCTCTTAGCTACTACTTACTATAGAGTAAAAGTTCCTGTAGTAGAAATATACAACAGGGCAACAGAATGCTCGAGGAAAAAACTTCTGGACTCCACTGGCCCCCTAAGCCACATTTTAATGAATAAATATAATTAAAATAACCAAAGTAAGTAGAAGTCATAAGAGAAGGAAGAAAGACACATAGTTTTCCAAGAGAAGAGACAGTCTGTCTCCAGGCAGGGGTAGGGAGTAAGGGTACTCTAGTGAAGTAACCCAGAGTGAGGATTTCATTGGTAGGGATTCTGTAAAAGCTATACCCCGATACAAAGCCTAAGGTTTAACCCGGGGGCGGGGGTGGGGCCAGTTATGTCTCTCTATTAAATGTTAAAATATGTTCTTCTTACCAACATTGTAGGATGGTCAAGAAATCAAAAATTTTTCTAGATGCCATCACGTCGTCTAAACTGTATTCATCTTGGAACTGGGAATACCTAAATACAACATAAATATTAGTTACAGAATGTGAGGTAGCAATTGCAATTTTTGTTGCAGAGTTAGAGACAGAATAATATATAAAGATTCTTTTCACAACCAAAAGAGACTAAAAACAGCTTCAACCTTTAATAAATAAGTTATCTGAATTGAGTTAAAAAAATCTTAACTCCAAAATACCATGTTATAAAATAAAAAATTTGTCTGGTCTTTGTCCTAGGTTCCAGCATGAAGCTTCTAAAACCTTTGGAATTTCCTGAGTGATAGGTGTGTCTTTGTTATGCTAACGAGGTGACTCAAGGTAGGCCCCTTGTTACCTTCAAGATGGGAGACTGACCACAAAAAAGAACAACCCTGTGAATATAAAATTGGGACTTTTGAGCCAGTTCAACCTCTGGGGAGAAAAGGAAAGCTAGAGATTCAGTTTAGCCATGTAGTCAATGATTTAACTGAGCATGCCTACAAAGGGAAGGCCCTGTAAAAACTCTGGACACAGAAGTCTTAAGAGGGCCGGGCACGGTGGCTCACGCCTGTAATCCTAGCACTCTGGGAGGCCAAGGCGGGCGGATTGTTTGAGCTCAGGAGTTCGAGACCAGCCTGAGCAAGAGCGAGACCCCGTCTCTACCAAAAATAGAAAGAAATTAATTGGACAGCTAAAAACATGTAGAAAAAATTAGCCGGGCATGGTGGCGCGTGCCTGTAGTCCCAGCTACTTGGGAGGCGGAGGCAGTAGGATTGCTTGAGCCCAGGAGTCTGAGGTTGCTGTGAGCTAGGCTGATGCCACGGCACTCACTCTAGCCAGGGCAACAAAGTGAGACTCTGTCTCATAAAAAAAAAAAAAAAAAAGAAGTCTTAAGAGTCTTCCTGGCTGGTGAACACCTTGATGTGCCAGGGAGAGGGCTACATACCCTGACTCCACAGGGAGAGGGCATGAAAGCTTTGCACTGGGATCTTCCCAGACCTCGCCCCATGTGCTTCTTCATTTGGCTGTTCCTGGTTTGCATCCTTTATAATAAAACTACAATTTTAAGTATAACACTCTCCTGAGTTCTGTAAATTGTGAACTAAAATAAAATTTTAAGGCTCACCCCCCACCAGCTGACTAAATGGATCCCCTCGTGGCCAAAGGAATATCTTAAAACTAAATTGTCTGCCAGGAGGAAGGAGGTCAGACATGCCTTATCATGCTCCCTTCCCTTCTTGGGGACATCCTTTGTAACCCATTAACAGGCCTAAGGGTATGCAAGACAAACCTACAGGTCTTTAATTTACACACAAATACATGTCTGGTGGCTTATCTCTGATAAACAGCTCCTATGTTAAAACATTCCAAGCCTTCAGACAAAGCTTCATATCTTTAACCAATTACAAGCCAAAGAATCTTTAAATCCACCTATAACCTGTAATTCCCTCCCCCCCCTCGAGATGACCCACCTTTTCGGGCCAAACCAATGTGTGCCTCCCACGTATTGATTTATGGCTTTACCTGTAACCCCTGTCTCCCTGAAATGTATAAAACCAAACTGTAACCCAGCCACGCCGAGTTCACTTGCTCAAGGCCTCTTGGGCATGGCTCCGAGTCATGGTCTTCAAATTTGGCTCAGAGTAAATCTCTTTAAAATTATTTTGCAGAGTTTGGTCTTTTATTCCACTGACAAAGTCATTCTAGTGAATTATTGAACCTGAGGGAGTTATGGGAACCCCTGGATTTGTAGCCAGTTGGCCAGAAGTATGGCTGGCCCAAGTATGCCATTTGCAGTTTGTCTGAAATAAGGACAGTCTTGTGGAAGACTAAGTCCTTAACTCATAGGGTTTATGTTAACTCTGGGTGTTTTAAGCCAGAATTGAGTTGTAGTACACTCAGTTGGTACTAGACTAAGTAGTCAGGGGTTAAAACATAATATCATATTTTTTTTTCTTGGTGAATTATAAAATACTAGTTCCTTAAAAGCAAAATGACTTGCAATTCAGCCAACTTCTGTGGTGATGATACTACACAAGTATATTTAATGAAGGCTAATAGAGCTTTTATTAATAAGTAAATGTACATAATCTGTAATAAATTATCTGCATTCTTAAAAACACATTTCCCTTCTGATCACTGCAAAGAAGAAACTTATTTTTATCCCCTTTGGCTCCTCTAACAATATAATCAGATGGCTTCAAAAACTCTGCTATCGTGAAAATGGCAGCAGCAAGAGACATCACAAGGGAGTCTCTAAAAACAAACTTCAACTGGTGTGGAAATTAACAAGCAATTCAAACGTTTAGCGGATAAAACCCATATACCTTAGATCTATATACTAGTGTCTGTACTTTCGCTTCTAAAGTTAACTTTGACCATCATCAACTTTCAAAAAACACCTTATTCGTGCCACATTGTGTGCCAGGCACCAGGGGCACAGACACAGTCCCTACCCTCGAGGAACTCAGTATAATTCTGTGGGAAAGAAATACACAATTCTAAATATAATACAATAAATGCTATGTTATACAGAGTGCTATGAGAACATAGAGGATATGTATCAAATCCAGACACCAGAAGGGGCTTCCTCTAAGAAGCTAGAAAAACAAATGGGACAGAGAGAATTCCTGACAGAAGAAGCAGCAAGGCGAAAGAGTTCACTGAAGGTGAAGGCATGAAGTTTGGGAGGGAATGTGGACGCAAGGTAAAGAAGATGGGGCCAGAGAAATGAGCAGGGATCAGACCATGAAAGGCCATTTTATGGTGTTTACATTTCATACTGAAAATAATGAGGAACTACTAAAGGATATTAAGCTGGGAGGGACATAATCAGATTTGTATTTCACCAAGAAGGCTGAGGCATGGAAAAGGGTTGGTAAGAGGCATTACCAAAAGCAAGTAAACCAATTAAGAGACTGGGACAACAATTAAGAGTGTAGTGGAAAATTCCACTGCCAGGGCTCTACCCCATTGTCTTCCCTAAGCAGCTATAAACAGCTTGCAACAACTCCTGCTAAGGTGAGATAAGACAGGAAGACATTCCATAGGAACTCTCTACCTGGAACTAAGGTTGCTCTGGACCCTGTCCCCACTAAAGAATGACTTCATTGTAACTATGCCCCACTTTCTCACTCATTAACTGTGCCCCAAGCAAAATGTATAAAAGACTGATACGTTCTTTATTCGGGGCTCAGAATTTGGGAGGAAAAATCCCCCTCTGAGCCTGCCAGCGTATATAAACCTGTTTTGCCATATTTCTGTGTGCGTCTCAGTCTATTCCCGGTCAACTCTGCTGTAACAATAGGACAGGTAAAGAGCCTATAGCAGGGAACTGGAAGTGAAAGATGGAGAGAAGGGATGAATTCAAGAGAAAGTAAGGAGGCAGAATCCCTAGGACTTTATTCCAACTACATATGGGACACTGAAGAAGGCACAGTCAAGGATGACATCTAGTTTTCTATCTTGGATAATTAGGTGTATGCTGATGTCATTTTACCAAGATGGAGAACACTGAAGGAAAAACAGAGTTATGGGAAATGATAATCCTGCATGGTCATGCTTACTGTGAGGCACCTGTGTGACATCTAAGTGGAGACAACCAGGGGGACGTTACAGACACAGGTGTGGAGGCTCAAGTGGCATGGGCTACCCCTAATCCTACACTACTTATCACAGATTCTCACTGCTTACAGGAATTCTTATAATTTGTGAGGAAATACTTTGGAATAGTTTCTTAATTCAACCTTCTTAAAAATTTGTAACAGAGTATCTCTAATGACTGGTCAGCAAACCTAGAATTCTCTTTCTTCACTAGCCAAGCAAAACCTAGTGTAAAAAGTTAGCATCTGAAATTTCTGAGCCAAACCCAGAAGGCTATTCGTGATTGTTTTAAACAATGAAAATGACATCTAGAAAGAATGCCTATTTAACATAATTGATAACTTATAACATGTAATAGAAGATCCATGGGGGCAGGAAATTATCCGTCTTGTTCACTGCTGTATCACCAGCACCTAAAGCAATGTATTGCACATAGTAGACTGCTGAATACATATTGGTCAAATGAATGAATTCCTTAAGAAAAATGCTGCATTGAGTGGATAAATGAGTGCCTGGTTAGGCAAGGAGTTAAGTGAGAGAAAGATTTGGTAGCTTTGATTCTCTTAGGCCAAGAAAGCTGCAGTGCTGTCAACTCTTCAGCATACTGGTACAGCTCCTTACCAGTTTCAGGAAGTCACAAGGATTTTTAATAGTTCTCCAAGTATTAAGGACAAAGGAAATCAGCTCTAGACTATCTTTATGGGCTTAAGACTGCTCATCCCAACTCTACTACTCAGCAACAGCAAAATTTTGTTGCACATATACTATGTCCAAGTACCCTGATAGATAAGGTAGAAACAAAGATGAGACATAACCCCAGCTAAAGGATCATTATCACCAGAGGAGTAACTAAGTGTGATATAGTGTGATGTGTTATAATAGAGGTATGAAGAACATGTGATGAAGCTCATGAGAAAAGATAACTAAGCCCAAGAAGCTTTAAGAAGGTGTTAAGAGAAGCAATGATATTTGGGTTGGAATTTGATGGGTAAGTAGATGTTCACAAAACAAAAGAAACACAGAAGGATATTCCAGAGAAAGCTAACAGCATAATTAAAAACAAAAAAGCAAGTGCTGTATAACACACCTGGGGAAAACCAAGTAATATTGTGAGGCTACAGATTGGGAATATCCAGGGAAACAGTAGGAAATGAGACCAGCAAAGTAAAATGGGGCCAAATTATAACAGGCATGTTTTTTCTTTTACTATTTTTTTTTCTTTATTTTTTCACTATCTCCTTACTTCCTATATATAACAGGCATGTTATCTCATACAAAGGAGTCTGGGGCTGGGCACAGGGCTCACACGTATAATCCCAGCACTTTGGGAGACCAAGGTAGGAAGATCTCATGAGCTAGAAGATCAAGGTTGCAGTGAGCTATGATAACACCACTGCACTCCAGCCTGGGAGACAGAGCAAGACTCCATCTCTAAAAACTAAATTAATTAATTAAAAAAAATAAAAGGCTAGTCATGGTGGCATTACAGGCATAAGCCACTATCCGTAAGCCATAGTGGCTTACGCCTGTAATGCCAGCACTTTGGGAGGCCAAGGTGAGAGAGGACTGCTTAAGGCAGGAGTTCGAGACCAAGCTGAGCAATACAGTGAGACCCCATCTCTACAAAAAATTAGCTAGGCATGGTGGCATGCACTGTGGTCCCAGCTACTTGAGAAGCTGAGGCAGGAGGACCACTTGAGAGGAAGAGTTCAAGGCTGCAGTGAGATACAATGACTCTGCTGCACTCCAGCCTGAGCAGCAGAGTGAGACTCTGTCTCAAAACAAAACAAAACAAAACACCAAAAGGAGTCTAAATTTAACATATAAACAATTGGAATTGTTCACAAAATATCCTTACATCTAGGGCGTGGGATTAGATACTATTTGTTAATTAGGTATGTCTTGAATTCAAACATTGATTTAAAATCAGGAGAATATAGAGAACTAGAGTAGCATGAAGTATTAGGAATATGGGGTAATGATCCACTGGTGGTATAAAATCTTTCTTGTCGTGATTTTATGTTTATTAAATATGCCAAATTTGTTTAATAGTGCAGAAATAATTTACTGAGCACCTACTATGTTCCAGGCTCTGTGTTAAGCATTAAGAACATAAAGATAAGAGATGGCTCTTGCCTCAGGGATTTTATAATCTACTACAAGGAAAAATATACATATTTATTATTTTGCCACTACTTATAATGAACTTGGGCAAGTTGCCTAATATCTGTAAGCCTCATTTTCGTTATCTATAACTGCAGTCCCCAACCCCTGAGGCATGGACCAGTATCCCTCCGGGCCTGTTAGGAACTGAGCCGCACAATAGGAAGTGAGCAGCAGGCGAGCGAGCAAAGCTTCATCTGTACTTAAAGCCGATTCCCATCACTTGCCATCCCCCCAACGCCCCACTCCCTGGTCCATGGAAAAACTGTCTTCCATGATACTGGTCCCTGGTGCCAAAAAGGTTGGGGACTGCTGATCTATAAAATGAAAATAAAAATATCTATCTCATAGGACCCTTGAAAGGATTAAATTAAAATGTACATAAAGATACCTAGCGCAGTGACACATAGTTGAAATTTAATAAAGCTAGCTACTATTCTCTTGTTGCCTGGTGGTATTGCTTTTATAGAGATTCTAGTTATGTGCCAGCAATTCAATTCCCAGTGGACCAATTTTCTTCAGCAACCATTAAGCTATAAGCCAGGCATTGTGCTAGGCACTAGGGATTCAAAAATTATTCATTTGTAATATATTTAATGTCTTTTTACTTCAAATTATTTTTTAGGATACAAATAACCATAATGTTCTACCAGAATAAGATTTAATGATACTACATTATTTAAAATGCATTCCAATTACTAATATGCATTTTATAAACATTTTAATTGATCAAACCAAACTGAGGAAAGTTCTAAGGAATGGCTTAAAATGGTGACTGGTTATTTTCAACTAAAATTATTATGATAAATTTCATTAATTAGAGTTGCAATGTATGACCAATTACATCTTTAGCACCACTCATTCATGTTTTTTAAAAAAAGAGTCATTAGGCCGGGTGCGGTGGCTCACGCCTGTAATCCTAGCTCTCTGGGAGGCCGAGGTGGGCGGATTGTTTGAGCTCAGAAGTTCGAAACCAGCCTGAGCAAGAGCGAGACCCCCGTCTCTACTAAAATTAGAAAGAAATTAATTGGACAACTAAAAATATACAGAAAAAATTAGCCGGGCATGGTGGCGCATGCCTGTAGTCCCAGCTACTCGGGAGGCTGAGGCAGGAGGATCACTTGAGCCCATGAGTTTGACGTTGCTGTGAGCTAGGATGACGCCACAGCACTCTAGCCTGGGCAACACATTGAGACTCTGTCTTAAAAAAAAAAAAAAAAAGAGTCATTAAGCTTAAATGATATTCTAAATATTAAACAGGCTAAAAACTAGAACTGAAAAGTTGTCAAAAGTTTACTTGGGCACAAGCCTTTTATAAAAAGAAAATAAAACATTCTAGTTAATATCTTTAAGGTCTTACATTTTCTTTTCAAGTATAAAGTTGCATATTACACAGTAGGATAACTCAGATTTTCATTATTTCATGTCTCTGAAATACTTACGGGTTATTAACTGAATGTTTATGATTTTTCCATCCAATTTTTGCAAAGTGTTCAATTTTTGTTCCTATAGAGAAAGCAAACAACTATTAGTAGGTTACTGTTTTTTTGCTGCTTATTAATAAATGTTGCAATGATACTCAGTGTCGTGCTCAGTATTTCCATGTTTTCCCTTGTGTAGATATCATCAGTATTGAAAACTTCAACACTGATTCCTCACATAAATTTTTTATGATTAAATCTGGATATTTAATGAATTAAATCAAATAATAGGCATATGAGATGCAAGTAGTTCAAACTGGTCTATTCTACTTAGCACAACTAGGGACCAATTTAAAAAAAAAGAAAATATAGTCTGGGACCACAGTAGTTTTAAGGCAGGAGAGCAGTGCCAGCAATTCTTCCAGCAGGCTGCCAAACACTCCAGTGCCCCAGACAGAGTGAATTTTACAACTCGTACCATCCAGGGCCTGTAATCCTAGCACTCTGGGAAGCTAAGGTGAGAGGATTGCTTGAGCTCAGTTCAAGACCAGCCTGAGCAAGAGCAAGACCTCCATCTCTAATACAAATAGAAATAATTAGCCACGCAACTAAAAACAGAAAAAAAATTAGCCAGGTGTGGTGGCACACACCTGTAGTCCCAGCTACTTGGGAGGCTAAGGCAGGAGGATGGCTTGAGCCTAGGAGCTTGAGGTTGCTGTGAGCTAGGGCGACACCACAGCACTCTAGCCTGGGCAATACAGTGAGACTCTGTCTCAAAAAAAAAAAAAAAAAAAAAAAGGAAAGAAAATCTTCCTATTTATTTTTATGAAGCAAGTATAAAATTAAAATTAATACCCAAACTTGATAAAGACACAAAAAAACTAAAAATCATAATCACTATGAATACTGATTTGAAATTACTAAAGAAAATCATAGCAACAGACTCTAACTCCACGTTTAAAAAAGTCAATACACCATGACCAAGTGGCATTTACTCCAGATATGCAAAGTTTGTTCAATATTAGGATTCCATTAATAATATACTCTAGGCCGGGCACGGTTGCTCACGCCTGTACAGGTGAGAGTGCGTGGTGGTGTGTGCCTATAGTCATATGAATAAACCCAACCAAGAAGAGCTGAGCTGAGATTAGATGAGCATATTCTCAGTCAAACTACAAACATGTAAACTATAATAATAAATAATTGATTAAAATCACTGACTTGTGGGGTAGTTTATTACGCAGCAATAGCTAACTGATATATTGCTGTATTCCAATGCCTAGACATTAATGAGAACTGAACAATATTTTGAATGAGTTATTCAATTGAAAAAAAATGAGAGAGCAGCCAGAGGTTAAAAAATAAATAAACAGGAAAATGAGGGGTCATGAAAGCCAAGAGAAGGGAATATTTCAAGAAGGGAGTGGTCAAAAGAGACTAATGGGGCTGAGAGATCTACTAAATTACGATGGAAAAGTATCTACTGGATATGGTAAACATGGTGATCACTGGTAGCCTTGAGAAAGGAAGGAAGAAAACCAGATTGGAATGGACTGAGTTTAAAATGGTAAGATGTAGCTACAAGAAAGAAAATTCCCATGACCACAAACCGGCAACGCTCTTCCATATGATCCCATCATTCTTCCTGGAAGATTTCTTTCCTTTCTGATTACCTGATCCTAGCTCTCAAACTTAGGATATTTTTCCTGCAAAGAATAGGAATGCTGAACTTCAAATGTGATTATTTTCTTTCTTATCTCACAGTACACAAAAAGGCTCTGGTTTGGTTTCATACAATAGGCAAAAAACCCTCTCTGCACTATCTCATGCTTTACCTTATTGGCTAAGACAGACCAATTACTAACCATCAAAGAACTGGGATGTTTACCTACAAAATAAAAATCACCTATGAAATTTTAACCAGATAAAACACCACGGAATGGCAGGTGTTGATGGACTCCTGATAGATTCAAGCACTAAGAATAAAATCTGGCTGTATAAATTTATAACGAAGAGAAAACTTTAAGTCTCATTATCATATTCAGAACTGATTGTAAAATACAATACACAAAATAGCATCACTCTGATTCAGAGCTCTAAAATAGAGTTGGGAAGCCATTCTAGGGGGAGTGCCTCACATGACCTACAACCTTCTAAACAGAAATTTGCCTTGAACCTCTAAACTGGGCCAAACTGCCATGACCACAACATCCTAGAAAACAATTGAATTTCACCAGCACTAAAACTCCTGATCTGCAACAACCAATTAACTATGGACTCACATACTAAGCCAGCCACCTCCACCAATGATAATTCAAAATGACATGTGTAAATACCCTCAAAGTCCTTTTAAAAATCCCTACTCCCCTTCCTCTCTTCAGAACATAATTTGTCTTCTGGCTGAATCTGTGTCTCTCAAACTGCAATTCCTAAAACCACAATAAATGCCTTGTCTTAAAGCTTTGCAGCCTGGTCCTTCACCTCTTCTTGGTTAATATTAAGATCCTAAACTTATAGTCTATGATTAAAGGAGACAAGATTTATGTTATTTTTCCTATTTCAATTTCCTGCTATGGAGTATTCTAGGTACTTCCCCTACGATGTCCTATATGTAAATACTTTATCTACAACTACATCCTACAAGGACTATTGCATCAATTTCATTGAAAAATCATTTTAGGCCAGGCACAGTGACTCATGCCTGTAACCCCAGCACTTGTGGGAGGCCAAGGTGGAAGGATCACTTGAACCCAGGAGTTCAAGACCAGCCTGGACAACACAGCAAGATCGCATCTCCACAAAAATATTAAAAAATTAGCCAAGCATGGTTACACATGCCTGTAGACCCAGCTACTTGGGAGGCTGAGGCAGGAGGATTGCTTGAGCCTGGAATTGGAGGTTGCAGGGAGCTGTGATCACACCAGTACACTCCAGCCTGGGCAACAGAGT